ACACTTTCTTATATCATACAGATGTCTGAAAACATCAGGAAAGCCACCCAAGGCCTGTGTGATTTGGGTAAAATTACTGGCCTGTATCCATGACTTTAGAAACCACTTCCTAACATCATAGTCATCCCCATCTACCCACATCCAGATCCACCTCCAGGTTCCCCCAACTGTTCTCACTCCTGCCAGTTTGGGTGATTTCACATATTTTCTGTATTTTGTTTCATTTGTCCATATCTCACATCCCCGCAGGACCGTATTCAGAATGGGACCCAACTGAATACTTTTTTGGGGATTTCCCCCATACCACTTCATACAGAGCCAAACTAATAGTAAGTGCTCAACAGCTGTCGAGAAACCAAGGAACAAAAGGGACTTTGGCCCAAAAGGGACAAAAAAGCTCTAAGGTTGACTCTAGAATTAAAAAGCAAATAGAGAGGGCTGGTAAATGTGGCAACATGGGTGTATGGCTTACCTGCTGAGATACTAGTATCTTAAATGTTAAGTATGTATCATATTCTTCCATCTTCTGAAATTTTTTGTTACTTCTCTTTTCTTCATTTTTTAGGTCAATGAATAGGGTGACCAACTTGTCCCAATTTTCCTGAGACTTTTCCAGTTTTAACACTGAAAGCGCTATGCAGGAAACCCCTCAATCCTGGCAAACCAGGGCAGTTGGTCAGTCTACTCTGAAGACAAAAAGAGTTCTCTGACCAAAGAAAACTGGGAAACACTACATCAATGCACTGGTCATCAAGCCATGCTGTGGCAGGCATCCCACATACAAAATAGAGGAAGATGGGCACAGATGTTAGCTCAGGGCGAATCTTCCCCACAGAAAAAAAAAAAAAAACAAAAGAATATTTTAATACTTTATGTTATACCCAAAATAATAAAAATGATAACACACTCCAGAAGAAATTTTTCTTTTTTTAAATCTGACCACCGCTAACCTCCTTCATTATTCCTCATTCACGCCATGGTCTCTCCCTCTTTTTTTTTTTTTTTTTTTTTTTTTGCTGGGAAAGATTCACCCTGAGCTAACATCTGTTGCCAGTCTTCCTTTTTTTTTTCCCCTCCCCAAAGCTCCAGTACATAGTTGTATATTCTAGTTGTAGGTCCTTCTAGTTCTTCTCTGTGAGCTGCCACCACAGCATGGCAACTGATACACGAGTGCTGTGGTTCGGCCGCCCAGGAACCAAACCCGGGCCGCTGAAGTGGAGCACGCCAAACTTTAATCACTAGGCAATCAGGTCTGGCTCCAGAAGAAATTTTTTAAGGCCTGGAGATTTATGGTCACTGGAATCTTTTTTTAATTTAAATTTCAATTTGTATGCATCCTTTGGCTGTAGAGAATAATGATGAATTGATCAAATAAAACATTTTCAAGCATAAAAATATGAAGTTAAGGTTCTCTGGGTGTCATAGAATAGCGATACAATTTCAAGGAGAAAAAAGAACAAGTAACATTTCTAATATTTAAAGAAGAGCTTTCTCCTGTCATTTTAAAATGGATAATAATGGGTATTAGATCACTGTAGTATTTATGTTATTTGGACACATTTGAAAGAATGATTTAATGGGCTAATTTTAAAATATCAATATTTACAATATCTAGAAATAATATCTATTTACAAATTATAACTATTTAACCTTGAGGTGAAAAATACTTGCTGTCAAGTTAAAAAGTATGCAAGGAGGTACATAGTTTTTCAAAATTCATATGGGAATATATGAGCAAAAGGTGTGATGGCCACTGCTCCAGAGAAAAATGTTGGGAATGCTGGTGGTGAAAAGAGCAGTATTTGGAGTCAGGCCAGCAGGGAGGTCCCGCGAAAAATCGCAGCTTCACCTAGCAGTTAGGGTTAAAACCACGAAGTGCCTGGCACAGAGCCAGCGCTCCCTTCATCCCACCAACACCTGCCGGGTGCCGCCGTGCGCCAGGCATGGGACGTACAGTAGTGCTTACACACAGTCCCTGCTCTCACAGAGCTCACGTTCCAGGGGCGCATATGTCTTTGATCCTTTGCTTCTGTGTAGATGTATGTTTGCTGCATTTCTAGAGAACCTCTTAAAATACCTTATTCTCAGGCAGTTTTTAGGAGCTGTGTCTACAAAGGAATGACTCATTTTTTGATATTCCAGAAGAGATCCATCTAGATTCCATTGTTCCCCTCGGAATAGTCACCTGAGGAGGCATCCACTATGTCAGTGACAGGGCCACTACTCAAAAGTCTTTAAGCTTCTCCTGTGGAATTGACTTCAAAGCATACAGCACAATATTTTGAACATCCTTCATGCTTGTAAATATTTGTCTTTGGAGGAGGAATTTGATGTTTTTAGAATAAAGGTTATTCACACAAAGGTCTGGTAACTATAGTAGATGGTCAGACTGGGCAGGGATATTGTTTGTCACAAATTCTGGGAGGGCATAAATCAGGCAGTCCGGCTTTCTCATCGTAAAAAAGAGTCAAGAGATACTCATATGTTCTCTTTGCACTGAGGCTAAAGGGACAACTCCGCCCATGTCAGGGTCACTTGGCTGTGAAGTTGCTTGAAGAGTCTATGGTCTCAAACTTTAGGGAGCGAGATTCCTGGGGCTGTGGGAGGCCCGTGCGACCACTGCTTTAGTTCTGCTGATCCCACTGCAGCGATCCCCTCCAGGCCATGCCCCTCAGGCCTGCACCTGGAAAAGGCCCAAGAGCAAAAGTAGCTGCCTGGAAGGACCCAGGGCTGAGGGAGCGAGGCTGGGCCAGTGGGGAGCGGCATGCGGGTGGAGGAAGCACCTGGACCTGTGTCTAAATTGCATTTGAGTGTTTACTGAGTCTGTCTGTGAGACCTGAGCATCCAGGGATTAGTCACTGTCCACTGAGGGAATGAGTCCGGGGTGGGCAGAGGGGGTGGAATATGAGATGGGGAGGGACCAGACAAGGATAGCAGAAGCTGGCGTAGATGGCCGTCTGTCTGTCCCCTCTGCCTATCACATCTGTCACTTCCATGTGGCCACCGAGCACTGGACAAAAGCTCTAGGGATCCTAGTGGGCCCTCAATTCTCAAAGAAAAATTATTTTTTTAGTATGTGTTTGCACTATATTTTACTACTTTCTGATTCTGCAGTATTTCTCTGGTATTTTACTTAGCAGACACCATTCCACCCCTGTGCCCCGAACCAAGCTAGATGCTGTGGGAGACATTGTCTCTGCTCTCAGGCAACTGGCATCTCCTTGGGAAGACAAGAATGATATGCACACATACTGTAGATAGAGCAACGGTGGCCAGTGGGTTTCATTTCAAATGTCAGCTCCAGCTAATTGGTGACTTCATGGAGTATTTCATCAAATCTAAGACACCATCAATTTAAGATGCTGTTTTATGTGCTCTTAAGAAAGAAAAAAAAATGCTTTCCATTAAATTGTGAATTATTGCTTTCTTATTACTTATAATTTTTGTTTTACACTAGTCCTCCTTTATCTGCAGGGGATACAGTCCAAGACCCCTCAGTGGATGCCTGAAACTGCAGATAGTATTGAACCCTATATATACTATGTTTTTCCTATACATCCATACCTGTGAAAAAGTTTAATTTATAAGTTAGGCACAGTAAGAGATTAAGAGCAATAACTAATAATAAAATAGAATAATTATAACAATATACTGTAATAAAAGTTATGTGAATGTGGTCTCTCTCTCCAAATATCTTATTGTACTGTATTCACCCTTCTTCTTGTGATGATGTGAGATGATACAATGCCTATATGATGAGATGAAGTGAGGTGAATGACATACACATTGTGAAGTAGCGTTATTTTCAGACTGCGATTGACCAGGGGTAACTGAAACCACAGAAAGCAAAACTGCAGATATGGGGGGACTACTGTATGCTTATTGAAAGATCCTTTTTGGACTTACTTAGACATAGTGTTATTTTTTAACATATTTTGTTTTTGTTCATTCATAAGGTGGAAACAGGGAAGTAAACTGGCTTTGGTTTTCTAAGCATCTTCACATTCAGGGTACTACTCATTGGAAGCATCTTTGACTTGGAGTTGTTGATATCTCTGTTTCCCACACAGTGCGCTTCTCTATGCCAATCGAGAGCATCAGTGAGGCAACATTTCTTACAAGAGTGCTCTTGACTTTTCTCCCAAATCTCTGGCTCCTGTTGTGTAAATTGATGCACACGCAGGTCATGACAACCCCAGCACAACTGCCACCTGGCAACAGTGACTGTTAAGACACATCCCAATTTCAAAGATATCAAATGTTCAATGAAATATGGATTCTGAGACTCAGTCAAATAAATGACCATAATCAACCACCTATGTCTGTCCTGGGAATGGGGTTAGTGTTGGTGCTACATTCTTGTCATTAAGCAACAATTTGCTCCTATATAATTTGCAAAACTGAATGGTTTCCAATGCAGCAGCTATTGTAGGAAGTTCTCTGTGAGCTAATGGAGTCGGGAAGGCTTTATGCATGAAGTAAATCTAAAAAGGTGAGATTTGGCCTGGACAAGAGGAGACCACTTGCCTGGATAAGAGGTGGGAAGAGTGCAATTTAGAAAGTTCAAGGGGGGGCCGGCCCTGTGGCTTGGTGGTTAAGTGCGCGCGCTGCGATGCTGGCGGCCCGGGTTCGGATCCCGGGTGCGCATCGAGGCACCACTTCTCCGTTCATCCTGAGGCCGAGTCCCACATACAGCAACTAGAAGGATGTGCAGCTACGACACACAACTATCCACTGGGGCTTTGGGGGGAAAAAATAAAATAAATAAAATCTTTAAAAAAAAAAAAAAAGAAAGTTCAAGGGGATAATCAACCGTCATGTGGAGAGAGAGGACAGTGGAGAAACCCCGGGCTGAGGTGGGGTTTAGTTAGGAAGTTGTGGGCGATAAAGGCCTGAGTTTTTGCTCTAAGAACATAAGTTCAAATTAGTGTGTTTCACTTGTAGAAACATAATAAACAGGTCTCATATTCCTATAACTTTTCTTTCTTCCCTTACTATAGGTCCCGATGTTTTTAGTTCAAAGAGCCTTGCCCTTCAAGCCCAGAAGAAGATTCTGAGCAAAATAGCCAGCAAAACCATGGCCAACATGTTGATTGATGATACCAGCAGTGAGATCTTTGATGAGCTCTACAAAGTCACCAAAGAGCACACCCACAACAAGAAGGAAGCCCACAAGATCATGAAAGACTTAATCAAGGTGGCGATCAAAATTGGGATCCTCTACCGGAACAACCAGTTCAGCCAGGAGGAGGTTGTTATCGTGGAGAAGTTCAGGAAGAAGCTGAACCAGACCGCCATGACCATTGTCAGCTTCTATGAGGTGGAATACACCTTTGATAAGAATGTGCTCTCCAAGCTCCTACATGAGTGCAAGGACCTGGTGCATGAACTGGTGCAGCGACACCTGACGCCCAGGACCCACGGGCGCATCAACCACGTCTTCAACCACTTTGCCGATGTGGAGTTCCTCTCTACACTTTATAGTCTGGATGGAGACTGTAGGCCCAACCTCAAGAGGATTTGTGAAGGAATCAATAAATTGCTAGATGAGAAAGTCCTTTGAATGCTTTCCCTCCTTCTGGACTTTGCTGCGTTCAAGTTACAGCATCCAACATGGTCCCAGTGAGAGTCAAGAAAACAAGAAGAAACCCTTGTCGAAGATGCCCATGTTCTGTCCTGTTCATCCCTCTGATGTTGATGCCAAATTGAGCTTGGGTGTGTTTATCCCCTGAGCTCACTGATGAGCTCACTTAACATCACCTTTGTTTGCAAGCCCAAAAGACATTTCATCTACTGTAAGCAGAAGGGCTGCTCTGCTCATCAAGATGAGCTCAGTCCATCTTGTGGAGTAGAAGGAGCCCTGGACCAGGAGTTGGAGGGCATGGATTTGGTCCCAGCTCCACCAGCTACAATTCCGTCCTTTAGATCCTGGAACCATCATGCCTGCCTGCCTGCCTCCCAGGGCTGCTGTGAGGATCGAATGAGATGATGCATATTCATGCTTTTGAAAACGCTGATGTAAAGTCTTATTATTTTCTCTTCGGAATGTGGATCTCTTCAACCTGGATCTAGAAAATTAAGCAGCAGAGAAGAAAAGAACAATAGTATCTAATGGGCTGGGTTTGCAATCTGTCTCTAGATGTGCTGTTTCACACAGAACAAAAATGAATCCAAAGGTGTGACAAAGTATAGCTGCAAATTGGAAAAATGTTTTTCAAGAGTTGTGTTTTTTAGGTTTCTGATCCTGCAGAGGGAAACTTTCTGGGAGGGTGAAGAGTTTCCCACCCATAATGTAGAAGCAGAGAACTCTGCTCCCCTGCAGTGCTGGCCCTCCCCCTTCAAAGGGGCATCATCCGTGAGGCACAGGGAGGATTTATTCCAGCATGCACGGGAGAGTCAGGCAGAATGAACCCCTATCTGTCTGTCTTGGCCTTCCACAGTCATTTTGTGCTGTTATCTGGTTCATTAATAAATTGAAACTACCCTTCAAACAAGAGGTTTTGGAGTTGTGATTCAAAAGTTAAATTCCTTTTTATTAAAAATAAAATTCCTGGAGTTAGATCCAGTGTTAAGAATAAAGGATGGAAAGGAGGAAAAAAATGAAGAGTAAGAGCTGTGCACTCAGACCCTAAGGGGAAGGGGCCCCAGGGAGAGCGCCATGGGGTAGGGCTGTACAGGGGTCACTGGGGGGCTAGCTCATGGACACGGTGACCGCCTTCTCTGTCTCACAGCCTCGCTTTCACACTGTAGCTCCTGACATCTGTTCATCATAGTCTTAACAAACATCAGGCTGATGCATTTATTGCCTTATAATGTTGTCTGGAGGACGCCACACTAAGAGACTTGCTCTTCCTGCATCACCTCTCGTCCTGCTGTGCTTCTCTCGTATCTGATGATAATGTAAAAATACATCAGCTCAGCCCCATTGTTCATCCCACCCCGTGGTCTCGCTCTAGCAAGAGCATGGAGAGATGGTTTGTGAGAAAGTGTGAAACCATGTCCACTGAACCTACCAGTGGCCGTTCAGCCTCAACTGGCTCCCGTGTTAACATCCGTACAAACCATCCAGTAAATTCTTCAGCCACCAGCACTCAAAATTAGTTCATAGGAAGGATGTCCAGTATGGAATAGAGAATAGTTGTCAGCCCCTGTTCTCCACATTTGACAAGCATGGCCTAGCTCCTCTTGCAGACCTGAGGATGGAACAATGGAGCCCTGTGCACATCTGGGCTGGAGAGGTTGTTGGTCATTTGGGCAGTGCTGGTGGAAGCTGCAGGCAGCAGGCTCCTTCCTTCCCACCTGCCCACTAAGCAGCTAGCATCCCAGCACTGGCCAAATTTTCACATACAGAGTCCTCAATACCTGCTTTGAAGTACTCGTCTGATTAAGAACAATTTTCTAGGGGCCGGCCCTGTGGTTTAGCGGTTAAGTGCATGCACTCCGCTACTGGCGGCCTGGGGTTCGATCCCAGGCGCGCACCAACACACTGCTTGTCTGGCCATGCTGAGGCAGCGTCCCACATACAGCAACTAGCAGGATGTGCAACTATGACATACAACTATCTGCTGGGGCTTTGGGGAGAAAAGGGGGGAAAAAAAAGGAGGAGGATTGGCAGTAGACGTTAGCTCAGGGCCGGTCTTCCTCAGCAAAAAAAGGAGGATTGGCATGGATGTTAGCTCAGGGCTCATCTTCCTCACAAAAAAAAACAAAAATAAAAAAAATAATAACTGCTTTCTACTTTGAGGGAATGGTTCTAGAAGCGGGTTCTTTTTTCACTAAGTTGGTGGACCTATCCAGAAAACTCAGACCCAAAAGGAATGGGTGGAAGTGTCTTCTGTCCATCTGAGACACAGCAGGGAAGAAGGGGGATCCCCAGCCAAAGAGGATTACAGGTACTGCCCGCTCCGCAGGCCGCAGCACACAGCAGTGGCAGCAGAGGAGGGCTGAGCGGGTCCTGATAACCTGTGAGTCTCTAAAGGAACCGGCCCTCTGTGTTCTGGTCAGAGATAGAACAGCACTTCCACCAGCAGGTCTCAGCAAGTGCAACAGCAGAATGTAGATAGAAACATGTTCTACTGCCTTAGGCCTCCCCACCCTGAGGCAGCTGAGGGGCTCTCTACTGCAAGGTCAGCTGGGTGTATCTCAAGCTTATCAACAGTAGCCTGGGGGAGTTGGGCTACCCATGTACAAGTAACCCACCACAGCCTCTAAAAATAGCCAAAACCAATCCTATGTGTATGTTTCAAACACACCATTGGCATGTAAATTCAAGTGATTATTGAGTTTCATCAACCAGCTGGGGGCCGGCCCAGTGGCGCAAGCGGTTAAGTGTCCGCGCTCGGCTGCGGCAGTCTGGGGTTCGCAGGTTCGGAACCCTGGGCGCGCACGGACGCATCGCTTGTTAAGCCATGCTGTGGCGGCGTCCCATATAAAGTAGAGGAAGATGGCCACGATTGTTAGCTCAGGGCCAGTATTCCTCAAGGAAAAAGGGGGAGGATTGGCATCAGATGTTAGCTCAGGGCTGGTCCTCCTCACAAAAAAAAAAAAAAAAGCATCAACCAGCTGAAAAGCTTACAAATTTCAAATACTTTGCATAACAATCTAGTGGCCAGAGAAAGAATGTCTTTATTGGTTTATCCTGAGGACTTCAACCACGTCACTTCGTGGCCCTGAAAAGCTGTTTTGGCTGGAAAAAATATGACAGTGGCCAGCAGATGCTTTCAAAAACAGGACTCTGTAGATGTGCATTTGTGCTTAGAACTCTGTACAAAATTTTCGATAATGAGAACCCACAAAAGCGAATGTGGAATATCTACATTTAGGTGGCACCCAAAAGAAAACTGATTTCAAAAGAAGCAGCAGGGGGCCAGCCCCGTGGCTTAGCGGTTGGGTGCGCTCGCTCAGCTACTGGCGGCCCGGGGTTCGGATCCCGGGCGGCGCACTGATGCACCACTGGTCCGGCCATGCTGAGGTGGCGTCCCACATACAGCAGCTAGAAGGATGTGCAACTATGACATACAACTATCTACTGGGGCTTTGGGGAGAAAAAGGGGGAAAAAAGGAGGAGGATTGGCAATAGATGTTAGCTCAGGGCCGGTCTTCCTCAGCAAAAAGAGGAGGATTGGCACGGATGTTAGCTCAAGGCTGATCTTCCTCACAAGAAAAAAAGAAGAAGAAGCAACAGCACAAAATCACTCAGTTGATCCAGCCCCATACAAGCTTCAGAGAGCAGTGCCTGGCTCAGCAAACAAGAGCAGAGACAGGACTCGTTCTTTAAGGAGCAGCTTGTCACCTGGAAACATCACTGAGTCTTCAACCATCCCTGAGCAATCAGCTCTGTCCCCACAGGGGGACACTCCACTCCTGGTTACGTGTCCTGCTTCGTGTATCTGAAAGCTGCGGAAACACATGCCCTGCTGCCTGTGCCTGCCGTGTGTCCACATCACTTAGTCCACACGCTCCCTGTGTTTGCAGCTGTGAGTCTTGACACCCTCAGCAACTCCAGGTCTCTGCTCAGTGACAAATCAAAATGAAAAGACTTCTCCATCTGTGCTTCTCCTTCAAACTCCCATCTCCCCCATCTGTACATTTTTCAGAAGCAAATCAGTGCTTTCACTGGCTGCTCCAATGAACTTCTTGTATCCATTTATATTAAAAAAGAAAGGAGCTCAAATCAGGCCTACATGCCCTCTGCCCCAGAATCTTTGGGGCCTTTTTTTTTTTAATTCAACATGGCCCCAGATGTCAATAGCAAAACCAATCAAGTGAAAATTCTAGATCAGCCAACTTTGGCAGCCAACTTTGCATTAGCAGGAGCTGTCCAATAATGGACTGAGATGTTGACAATAGGGTCATGAATTAGATGGCCTTGAAGGAGAGGGTCACCAATGCCCTCCCAACTCAGAATTGTGTGGTCAGTGGGTTTCCTTTGTTTAGTCTGACCCTGCTGTGGGGCCACAGACCCGGCCCACCTCCTGCTGTTTCCTTGGAGGGAAGTCTTGCTTGTTAGGAGGAAGGACTCTTCTACAACCCTGTTCCTCAAAATGGCATCTAGGAATCCTTGAGAGTTCTAGGGGAATAGGGTGGAGGAGAGGGAAGAGACCATGAGTTCTAAAAGAAGTTATAGATTTTTGTTTCATTCTGACAACTTTTTTTAAAAAAAATCAAAATCAACACAAGTACCTTCTGAATCATGTGGGGATGACTACTTTAGAGGCAAGTGATGGCATCTGGCTTCAGGGTCTGAGTTTCTCTGTGTTTACAATGTCATTCATGCTGATTGTTCAACTCAAGTGAAAGAAAAGAATTTAACTGAATGTATTTCTCCAACTAGGCCTGGCATCCTCATCCCCTGGGTCTGCAGGCATAGGTTGGGGGTCCATAAGTTCTCAATTTTGAGAAACATTACTACAACATATGAAAGTGTAGGCTTGCAGAGAATGAATGAGTGTCACCCTACCCTTGATGGTGACTCATTTGTGAGAGACCAAAGGTTGAGGGGTGAACCAGCGTCTGAGGCATAGACCAGCTGCAGAAAGAGGGGGCCTCCCACATGTCCTGCCTGCCCTTTGAAAACTGGCCAGGAAGAGGTACTACATATAAATCAGAGAATTGGCCAGTCCATCTTGGCAATTCTAATCACAAATCTCAAAGGTACAAGAGAGGCCATCGCTGGACACACCCGGCACTGTTCCTCTCAAGGAAGGGAATAGAGGAGAAACCTTGCAAAGCTTCATTGCGAAGAAAAGTCACCTGTACCCGCTCACACTCCATCCCAGTTCCAGCTTCACCTGCTGGAGTGCAGAGTCCCAGGTGTCAAGGGTATGTGTCGTTCAGGATCCCAGGAGCGAATTCCTTGGCTGAATTTAAGAATAAGGCACATGGCACTTGGATACTGGAGGCACTGAATTCCTCCCAGTCCCAGAAGTCAGCCAGAGCAAGGACTCTCTCACACCCCACCCCCAGCAGCACCTCAGTGCAGCTACCAACCTGTCCCTTCCTTTCCTTGTGCTTCCATTGCTGAGCTGGGGCAGGTCTCTACAGAGGAGGGGTCCTGGCTGCCCACCCCAGCAGCCAGAGCTTGGGCAGCCAGGCCCCCCAGGCTTTGGTATAAAGCTCCTCCTTGCTGACTGCTAAGACCATTCTGGACTGCTTCCTAGGACAAGGGAGTCTGGGGTTTGGCTCCACCTCAAAGAGGGGCTGGGTGGGAGCCAGAGCTTGGTACAGAGTGAGTGCTGGAGGCTAGTGGGGAGGCAGCAATTAGGTTATGTTGTGGAGGGAGAGAAGTGCTCTTCCAGACTCTGTCACTTGTAAAGGAAGAGCCTGTGGCCTAGTCCTCCAGGAGTGATTTGGGTTCCTTCCACCTCTCAGAGCAGCCGCTTCCCAGCCGAGAGGGTCATATTCCCTCACTGCTGGGGACGGGGCTGCCCCTGCTCTGTGTTCCAGAAACAGTTACAACTTGATTTTAGAAACAGATTGTTGGG